TAGCTTGCATTTACATGGCCATGCAACCTTAGATGCATTCCTACTCCTATATATACCCTTGGCCTCCCACCATGTACACACTTTGGAATATATGATATTGAGTGAGCATTTTTTTTGCCTAAACATCCTTCCTTAGTCATCTAGGGTTCTTCATCCTAAACCCTCTCCTCTCCTCCTAGAGTGAGTGTTAGGTTTATCTTGAGTGGCCTTCATCCATCCTTGGTGAAGTGAGCCAACTTATAAGCACCAAAACACTTTCCACCCATTATCTTTCATATTCGCCCAACCTCACCATCTCATGCCCACCTTAATTGTTTTCCTCGCCCTTGAAGACACATCCAACCCCTTAAACACTTTTTTGATTGTGGAGAAGAATCTCCTTTCATCCTTGGTGACCATTGATCATCCCATGGAAAAAACGAGTCCATCATTATTAAACCCTTACTGAAAATGCATATACAAGACATATCGTCTTCATTTTGATGTCAAGATTAATGAAGAATTGAATAAGTTAAACCCTCATTGAAAATACATATACAAGACATATAATCTTCATTCCAATATTAAGATCAAAGAAAAATTGACAAAGTTAAAACCAAATTGAAATGCATATACAAAATGTCGTCATTATTTCGATATCAAGAGGAATGAAGATATTGACGAAATTAAAATCACATTGAACAGGCATATATCAGACACATCATATTTACTCTAATATCATGATTTATGAAAAATTGACTAAATTAAAACCTTTTTGAAAATGCATATACTAGACATATTGTCTTTATTTTGATATTAAGGCAAACAAAGAATTAACTAAGTTAAAAATATGAAGGTGCCATCATGGATCATGTCATTATCTTACCAATATCTAAATCATCAAAAGTTAGAATCATGTTGAGAATGAATAAACATGTTTTCGTTATTCTGATATGATGATCAATAAAGAATTGACTAAGTAAACATGTTGACATATGATTGATCTATTCATGATTCTTCACAACTAAGTCTTTGCATTATTTATCCTCGTGCAATCAACATATGACTGATCTATTCACGAGTCTTCTCAATTAAATATTTGCATTATTTATCCTCATGCAATCAACCTATGACCGATCTATTCACAAGTCTTCGTAATTAAGTCTTCGCATTATTTATCCTCATGCATTCGACATGATGGAATCATGCTTTGAAGTGCAAGAGGTGACATACTCAAAGATCCAAGAGGAGTTGGCTAGACATGAAGGTTTGGGCCAGTCAGGGCCCAATGGGCCCGATGGGCCTAGGAAGGCTCAAGTTGAACTTTTCATGGGCCATATTTTGTTATAGCTATTTTCATATGTTTTGTATACATCATGTTAGTATAGGTATCATATATTTTGGTCTTGTATTTTGGACCACATAGAGTAGCATTTTAGGTTTTAGGCTTGTTGGGCCTAGTTTTGGGCTTCATGGGCCTTTGGGCTTTTGGTACCCAATATTGGGCTCATTTTCATTCTTGTAATTTTTCCTTTCCATTGTATTTGTTTGACCATTGTATTTAGGTCATTAGATTAGGAATATACAAGAATTACTTAAATAGGTAAAATAGGTTAAACTAGGTTTAATTTGGAAGTCATTTAAGTTACATTTGAGTCACATGTTTAGCACCATGGGTGGCTGAACATGTGCCACTCAAATTAACCCTAAATAACTCTCAAATCAAACCTAAATGCATCTAGGCACCTAAATTTTCGGACTAGCACATGGGAGCCAAAATTTGAATTCAAATTTCAAGTTTGAATTCAAATTTTGGGCGCCACATGTAGCCTTGGATTTAGGCGCCCAAAGTTGCACACTTGGAACCCTACTTAAGTGATTCTTCCACTCTTTGTATTCACTTTTGAGATTAATAAAATTGGAGAGCTTATTCAGCCCAATTTTCTCTTGAGAGTCACCGAAATTTCTCACATCAAAAGCCATAGGAGAGTTCATCTTTTCCTTCTCTTTGAAGTGAGGAATCCTTTGCTCCTTAAGCTTGGATGCTTCCATCCAAGGCTTAAGCCTATTCCAACCGAGAATCATCCTTCTTCAAGTGTTCATAGCTGCGGATTCAAGTCTCCTTTGAAGAGATCCAAGCCTAGGCAAATCCAAGGAGAAGAACATCCTTCACTTCTCCTAGTATTTCCATCACGACATATGACTGATCTATTCACGAGTCTTCATAATTAAGTCTTCGTATTATTTATCCTTGTTCAAATGGCATATGAATGATCTATTCACGAGTCTCCGCAATTGAGTCTTCACAATTAAGTCTTTGCATTATTTATCCTTGTACAGTCAACATATGATCGATTTGTTCATGAGTCTTTGCAATTAAGTCTTTGCATTATTTATTCTCATGTAGTCCACATATGACCGATCTATTCATGAGTCTTCACAATTAAGTTTTCACATTATTTATCCTTGTGCAAGCAGGATATGACTGCTTTGTTCATGAGCCTTTGTAATTAAGTCTTCGCATTATTTATCCTCATGCAATTGACATATTTATCCTTTCTTCTTGGAATGTAACGCGATCTTTTATTTTGTTCCAATTAGATCATGGACATAGATGATTCTTCCATCCTTTATTTTCTGTGATCAACTCTTGGTCTCCAACTGCTCTCTTGTTGATTTAACCTTCCTCCTTTAGCCATCATTTTGTAATTCATTCTTTCTAAGGATTTGTCGAATACTTCTGATTACAAACCTTTTTGGAAAGCTACAACTGCCATCTTTTCATTTAAAGATGCAACCCTTTATAGAGACTTTGTTAAATCTCTAGAGAAAATCTTTTAAAGATTATCCTCGTTGTTGCTTTAAATTAAATAAGTCTAGTGTGATTAAGGGTTTTTGCTTGTTCATAGAAAATTGAGGTACAAATAGGTGATTAAACATGTCAGAATCAGTTATTAACCAATTTGGCAAACTTGTTGAACAAATATTGCCACATTCCCACCACAAATCAACATCTGAGCACGGAAGTTCGTCAAATGTTGAGTCAGACTTGGGTTCCATCAAACAAATTGATTTGAGGCACCTAGTGGTCTCAAGGAATAAGTGTTACCTCAATTTCTTCTGAAAAAGGGCTAAAGTCCTTTAACAACTCGATCGTCAGACCTCCCTCTGTTGGCTTGAGGTTAGCTTGTATTGTCTCTTGCATCTCATCCACCCTTCACTGAATTTCTTTATTCTCCCTCATGATAACATCCTTTTTTTCTTAGCTTGGGAATTCTCTCCCCTTAAATCGTTGATCAAGGCCATCAACTTCTCCATTGTTGGATGTTAATTTTCATGATTCAACGTTGTTCCCTTTGCCATCTCCACTGAAACCTCCTTACAACTTCTTCTATTGATAGTCCTTGGAGCATATGAGAAATTTCACCATAGCCCTATGGTGGGCACCAAAATCTTTCGATTTGGAGAATGTCTAGGGTTAATCTAGCCATTCAATCAAAGCCAAAACATTCAAATGTGTAAGTTGTTCATCCTTGTTCTAAGGTTAGTATATTTATGGTTAATTGTTTATGGGTTTATGGGCTTTGAGAGTTTTGGGATTCGATAAGATAATTTAGTTATCATATCTTGACATATTATCTTAGTTATTGAAGATGAGATTTGGCCCAAATTTTCTGAGATCAAGATAACTTTGATCCCTATTGAAAATGTTTAATAGGAGATATGCTAGGTCATGGAGGTTAGTTAGATTCTGACTTGACTAGTAAATTAGGTGATCTTACAATCTTTACCATAGGTGTCTTAGTAGACCCTTCCCTACAAATCCATCTCAGAGATCTGTCTCAAACTATACCCAGGATGGTACACTTGTTTAGTTTGGAGAACTTCTAGGGTTAGTCTACCTACTCAAACAAAGCTAGAGTATTCGAATGTGTAATCTATTCGTACTTACTCTAGGACTAGTATATTTATAGTTAATTGTTTATGGGTTTGTGGGCCCCGAGAGTTTCGGGATTCAATAAGATAATTTAGTTATCATATCTTGACATATTATCTTAATTATTAAAGATGAGATTTGGCCTAGAGTTTTTGAGATCGAGATAATTCCTACCTTGTTAAGAATGTCCAATAAGTCATATGCTAGGTCACGGAGGTCGGTCTTACTTGGCTAATAAATAAGATGATCTTACAATCTCTACCATAAGCTTCTTGATAGATCCTTTTTGGTAGTTCTATCTTGGAGGTCTATCTCAGATTATACTCAAGATGGTACACTTGCATACTAATCCTGAACCTTTCAAGATTATGTAACTTGTTCAAATCGTCTCGATATATCCTTCTTAATAGATTCATCTCGGAGGTCCATCTCATATTATACCCAAAATGGTATAAAACATAATAAAGATATATGTTTCTATTACACATGGATATCTTTATGAATAAATAAAATAAAATAAAGTAATATTATTAATAAATTTAAATATATAAAATTCCCTGTTTTATGTTATCTTGATTATAAATACAATTGAATTAATTTGTTTCGCATTAAACATTTTGTCTTTGTCAAATATTTTATCTCAATTAATTTTATAACAATATTCCAAAACCTCGTTTAATTTTATAACAATTATTAATTTTATAATAAATAAATGAGTGTAGGTTGTTCTCAAAAGTCCATATCCTCATTTTTTATTTTACATAAAATCCACATCCTCGCTTAAATTCTTAAAAAAAACTTTAGATTTAATATATATGACTTTTAAGTACATAAAATCACCTACCAAAAAAATTACTATGTAAAATAGATAAACCACCTATTTTCTCTAAAACTTTTCTATGCACCCACATTGTGATTTTCTGAAAGAGAGTGATTAAAAGTTGTCATAAAAAGGGAAAAATTAAAAAAGGTCAACAGGTCCAAAATCAAAATCAATGTAATTATAGAGTAATTAAAAAATATTGTAATTGGTTGGTATTTGGATCGTGTAGAGTAGAGACAATAACAAATTATTAGAATAGTAATCAGTGATGCTGCTGTCATGTTGAGTAGGCAAGCATCTTCGTTGACCATAACACATTCAGAGAATCTGGAATTGGCAATCTGAACCAAACAAACCAATTTCTTTCTTTCCCCTTCACAATCCCAAGGTCAACCAAATCTTGGTTTCAATCCATTCCACTTCTTGTATCGAAGCAGGGAAAGGTGGCAATGCTTTGTTGGTGATTTGTGAAACATTGATTGGTAAAGATGGTTTGGAAAAAAGGGTGTGAGGAAGTGGCTAATTCCAAGCCTCTGTTCCTCACGATCTACACTGTTGTCATCATTGGCATCGTCGTTTCCTCCTTCTACGTTTTCTCTGCTATATACTCAGCCAGCCCTCCTGCTGCTCAGTCTTCTGCATGGCTCTCGTCACTTTCGAGTATGTGGCTCCATAAAAATCGTGCCTTTTCTTCTTCCTCACTAGTTTTTAGCTTCATTTTTAAATGCCCATTTCAATTATTGGCGTTATTTTTGCTTAGATAATGGTGGTATTTGCTTTATATGTTATTTCGGGTGGTGGGGGATTGAGGGAATGTTAGAAGGTGTTTAGTTTTGGAGCATTAGCTAAATAAATACTTAAAATTTGTCTTGTTTTTGTGGTAGAGATCACTCAATTATTGTTAGAGATGGAAAGTTGATGCACATGTTTTCTTTTGGATATGAGATGTAGACTCTATTGACAGTTCAACGGTAGTGTCTTTGTAGGATACATTTTAGATATTTTAGGTATTTGATGCAAATCTTGGTTTCTACCATTATTTGTTAGGTGGAATTTAGACCTTAATTGAACATGCTTTTGCAGGCCAGGAAACTCCTGTTACGGATCAGACACTAAATGTTTCTAGGTCAGCAATGGTTCATACTGTATCCACTCCTTCCCCTGTGCCGCAAAATGATTTGGCTAGGTCTATATGGGATGTTCCACCACTCAATAAAAAAATGCCACCTTTGAAGGATTTCCGGTTGACCAAGGAACTGGTTCAGCAAAGGGTGAAGGATAATGTTGTGATAGTAACCTTTGGTAACTACGCTTTCATGGATTTTATTCTGACGTGGGCTAAACAATTGACAGATCTGGGAGTTTCTAATTTCCTTGTTGGTGAGCACTGCTGTTTAACTATTGTTCTATGTATCATACATTTTCAGTGGTGATGCCTTGCTAGAAATGCATAGCCAGCAGTTTGTATCATTGATTGTTTGAATTTTGAAACCTACCTTGTAGGTGCATTGGATACCAAATTATTGGAGGCACTGTATTGGAAAGGGATACCAGTTTTTGACATGGGTAGCCATATGGGCACAGCAGATGTTGGCTGGGGGTCTCCAACATTTCATAAAATGGGGAGAGAGAAAGTTATTCTGATAGACTCAATACTTCCTTTTGGTTATGAGCTGTTGATGTGTGATACTGACATGGTTTGGTTGAAGGTGATGTTCATTTTCACGTATATGCTTTCTTGAGTTAATTTGTTGCAATTATAATGATGATTAATATGCTTGCTTAGATTTTGATTAAAGATTTAAAAGAAGCAGTAAAATTCTATTGATTAGGATATTTTCTTTCTCTACAGTGAACATAATAGTTATCAGAGATTCTGTTCATTTTCTTATCCAGTTTGCTATAGCATTTAAATTCCCCTATCCCCTCTACTATCGTTTGTTTACCTCTATCTTACCATATACATATTATAATTTCTTATGATCTTATCTTTTACATCCATTATGCACTATCATCTTTACAATGTCTCCGAGCCAATAATGTAATTGTTATATGTTATTCCTATGACATATGTTCAATTGTGTTTGTTAAACAGAACCCACTTCCATATCTTGCTCGCTATCCGGAAGCAGATGTTTTAACGTCAAGTGATCAAGTAATACCAACAGTTGTTGATGATAGTTTGGAAATTTGGCAAGAAGGTGAATATTAACTTACTGTCACTTTTTTACTGTGGTTATGTTGGTTCTTTTAGCATATTTATTTTCTTCAACGCACACATTTTATGAATTACATAGATCATGTAACCAAGCATTTTCCAGTCACATGACATCTATGGACTTGGAAATTGCTTATGTGAATGATAGTCATCTTTTAAGTCAATTAATAAAAGCAGTTCTGAGGCATCACATTAGAGTTACTTGTTACCCGTATTGCATGCTTTTGATTAGAAGCTAGCAAATTGGTTTTCAATGCAACCATTGACAGTTGTCTGCACTGTGAAGGCTTTTTATTCTATTATTGGTCTTCCATGTACATAAAAATAAAATTAATCTTATGGAGGTTCACATCCTGTATCATGTTCTTCAGCATAACCAACTTATAAAATAAAATGGCATAGTCCGAGGCAAGCTTTTTCAATTTTTCTCTCCCTGTTAATATTGTTTTAGAACTCACAGTAACCAATCCATTGCTCTTACTTATTGCTTCACTTCATCTCTCATTTATTATGAAGGTTAGTTCACTTGTTATTTTGACAGTGTATTGATGATCATGTTTATCACCTTGAATAGTTTCTGGCGCCTACAACATAGGAATTTTCCATTGGAGACCTACAGAATCTGCAAAAAAATTGGCAAAGCAATGGAAAGAAATGCTTCTAGCTGATGACCAGATATGGGATCAGAATGGGTTTAATGATATTCTTCACAATCAGTTAGGTCCTTCTGTTGATGATGAAAGCGGGCTTGTTTTTGCTTTTGATGGAAAACTGAAGCTGGGGATTTTGCCTGCAAGTATCTTCTGTAGTGGACATACATATTTTGTCCAGGTAGGATTTTTTAATGTGCTATACCTTTGTTATCTTTCATGCAATTAAATATCTGTAGGAATCTTGATAGGACTAGAGAAATAATTTGCTTACCAGTTTGATGTAATACAACATTTATTTATATATTATGATTGCAGGCTATGTACCAGCAACTAAGATTGGAGCCATATGCAGTGCACACAACATTTCAATATGGAGCCACAGAAGGAAAGCGCCATCGATTGAGAGAAGCCATGCACTTCCTTGATCCACCTGCATACTACAATCCCCCTGGTAATTAGTTGCTGTTCCGCACTGAATTTGGGTGTGCAGACATTCACTTAATTTTTATTTATTTTAATGCACTTGTGTAAATACAATCTTTTCACTATTTGTCTTGTTACTTAAATCTTGTATTGAATGGTTTTACTCTATCTGCATTTAAGCTAGCATCATACTATGATGCTGACTTCTAAGTTTTACATGGATTGGTTACAGTTTCCTCTTCTGATTGATTAGCCAACGCTGTTTTGTGAAATTACAGCAACCTAACTTTTAGATGAACTTTTGCAGGGGGTTTCTTGTCATTTAAGCCATATATTCCAAAAAGCATGTTGCTAAGTGGGGAGCATAATATTGAATCACATTTTACTCTTGTTAATTACCAAGTATGTACGTATCAACCCATTGTTCACGTCTACATTTTAAGCAATACTATGTTGCACGTTATAATATTTTTTGCATGTGAGTTTTTTTCAGATTAAACAGATTAGGACAGCACTTGCAATTGCTTCCCTTTTGAACAGAACGCTGGTAAGAACTTATTTTTGGGGTCATACTTGCTTATTGTATTACATGTTAAATTCAAAGTGTCTCATCATCAACACTCTTGATTGTCATGGAAAATATCCACTGTTAATTAATATTTTTTTATGAATACTATTAAGTGACAAACCATTAATATTTATACAAAGGATAGACTATATTTTATTTTATTTTTTATGTCTCAATTCTTCTTAATAAATGTTTAGAAGTCTAATAAAGTCATTATATTAGACTAAAGAACTAGCTTGTAACATTAATTTTCTACACAGTCGTGCAGTGTAATTACGTTGTTTGCTTTATATAAACCAAAAGCATGTACATCAGATTCCTTTTATTGGCAGAAGAGAACCAATTGTATGTTTCCACCACAAGTTTATGCTGTATTGAAAGCACACATTCATTTCACATACAATTATTATTGTGACAAACACTAGTTTTTACTTAGATGTCCTACTTGTACCATACTTTTTATTTTATTCGGATAGACTGATCTTTGCATTCATCAGTATTATGTGTTTTAGGGTTGTAGATTGTGATTGTTTTTTGTCACATAATCATAAGCTACGGTTGAGTCGAAGATTATCATTGTATTCACCATTATTGGATAGGTTGTGAACATAACTATTACAGCTGTTATTATCACATCTGCTCCATGGTTCCTTGGTGCTATTACTTCCCTTTTGCAAATATTATTGCTTTTCAATTATTCAGTCCGTGGAAGATAACTGCTAGCATAATTCGGCTACGAGTTTCTTCATTCCCCCTTCCCCCCTTCTAATAAATAACATTCCTCGAAAAGGTGCCTAAAGCTGCAAGCATCCCCACAACCCAAAATATATTGGAATAATTATTTGATGTCCTAACATGTTGAAATGATTTATATAAATGGTTTTGAATTTCAGTTTTAGTTGAAAATGTTTTTTGATAAGACAGTTCTAATTGAAATTTATGCCTGGTGGAGGTGATTTAGTTACTGTGGCTATGCTTGGTTTTATGATTGATAGCTTTGTTTTTTTATTTCTATTTTAACTTAATAAATTCTATAATTCTATCCTAAAGTTGATTCTTTGTGTCTGTTTAGGTCATGCCTCCATTATGGTGCAGGATTGATAGGCTATGGTATGGCCATCCTGGTATTTTGGAAGGCTCCATGACTAGACAACCTTTTCTCTGTCCTTTGGACCATGTATTTGAGGTATTTCCTATTTAAGCAGCTCCTTATCATTTTTATTGTTCATTTATGAATTGGATCATCTGGAAGATTTAGTAATCATCTCGGTGCTTTTGGATCCAAGTAGGCAAGTACCAAATATATATAGTGCAAAGGTCTTGAGTACAAATTTTATTCATCTTGTTTAAACCAAATTTGAAAGGTCTGTGGCATAAGTTACAATACTTTATTCAGCTATAAATGTTGTACATGAGCAATATGTTTCCTTGTATTGAGGCCTAGAAGGTACCAACAGACTTCTTAACTAAAAAATAAATAAATAAATAAAAATTCAAGAGTTAATATATATTTGTTCCCTGAAAGTGACAATATTTATGTTTAGTCCTTGAAAGTGTTGGTATATACAATTTGATCTTCGAATGTGTTAACTTGATCATATTTTAGTCTTTTCAGTGACTAACTAGTCCTTAAAAGTGTAAATACATGAATGTATTTCTTTTGTTCACATTTTGATTACATATTTGTGAAGAAAGGACTAAAATGTGAGGAAGTTCAGACATTTGAGGACTAAATTGTACAAATCAACAATTTCAGTTACCAAAAATAAATAGGATGCACTTTTAGGAATCAAATTGTATATCAACTAAAAATCAAAGTTTCAGAGATTTATGGTGTGTTCTGTTGGTCTGCACTCTGCAGGTCAATGAGAGACAAATAGAAGGTTTTTGTCATAATTGTAACAGTAGAAATTAAAATACGTAAACATGGATGGAACTAAAATTTAATGATTGAAATTAAACTAGTATTTCAACGATAGTTCTTTGTAACGTTGTTGAAAAGTTTTATTATGTAATTTTTTGTTGTGTGGAAAACATCTGATAATGTTCTGAAAGTAACCCTCAAAGCTAACAATTTTTTAGAAGTAACTTTAGAAGAATAACCTAAAATTAATTTAAATTCAATTCGTGTGATATTATAATTAGTGTCAATTACTGCCCGTGATACTGAATGAACTTTTCTCTTCATAGATTTCATTTATGCCCGTATCATTTCAAGAAGCACAAAAGAAATGGATCTTGAATGGGCTCAAAGTGCGGAAATTTATCCATATATGAACTTTCATTTGCGCTATATATCCCATTCCATTATTTCTATGATTTCTTAATAAAATCTTATAATGACTCCGGGTATTTGACTCATGTTTAAACTGGCTGTTACCTCAAGAGTGTACTTAAAAGTAAATAAGAAGATGCTTTGTTTTTATTTTTTATACGGTTTTTGAATTGTGTTTTCTGATTTTCTCCAATTCTGGTTGCCATGTTAAAATTTTTGTGTGTTCTCTTCACAATCTTATCTTCCTCTTCACCTCTCCTTTGTTTACATAATTGTAACATTTTATCATTTCCTTATGCTGCTACGGAAATGCACTATTCTGTAGGTCAATGTCATGTTGAAAAAGCTCCCTGAAGAAGAGTTTGGTCCTCAAATAGATATTAGAGAGTACTCAATATTTGATAATCCCTCAATGCCGTCAGAGGTAATAAATGTCTATTACATCCATCTTAAATCACGATTCTCGTTTCATAATTTATGTAACTTAACTTTTTTTCCTTGGTTTTTGAGTTCAGGTAAAAAAGTCATGGCTTGATGTTCAGCTCTGTAAAGAAGGAACCCGAGATTGTGATGCATCAAATAGTACCATTGCTGGGGGAGTACTTAAATTTCCAAAGCACAGCAATGAAGAAACGGTATTTGATTATCTATATCATGTCTATCCATGTAGCACTTAGGGTCTATTTAGGTAAACTTTGTCGGAAACACTTTTAGGAAAGTAAAATAGGAAAGAAAAATGGAATAAGCTTTTCCATAAGCCAAAATTAATTTATGCATGTTATTTTGTAGAAGTTCTGCTTCTACAAAATCTTATTTTGTAACTCATGCATGAGTTAGTTTTAGCTAATGAAAAAATTTATTTTTGATTTTCTTTCCTATTTTTCTCTGTTAGAAATACTTTTAGAGAAGCTTATCTAAACAAACTCTTTTGTTTAAATTTTTCTAAATCAACCTTATAAACTACATTTATATGATTATATCGAATGTCGAAACCTATAATGATTATATATCATTATATCAATTTCATCATTTCATGTCTATCCATATTCCATATAACACGGTTGTTTCTATGTGTATTTGCAGTTTATGAAAGTATTCTCATCATTCAAGGATGTTAAAGTGATCAAGTTCTTTTCGGTGCAAGACGCTTTCACAGGTTTCACCACCAAGGTAAGGACATTTTTCTTTTTCCATTTGAAGTTTCACATTGAGTTAGCCTTGAACTACAAAGAAACAGATGTTATCATGTGCTGATGCCATGCCTTTATTTTAAAGGAAAGGGAAGAAAAATTCAGAAATCGCGTTAAGAGGTATGTGGGAATATGGTGCTGTGTGCCAGATCACAGTCCCGGTCACATATATTATGATATGTACTGGGATGAAAAACCAGGATGGAAAGCAATTCCTCCCCAAACTTCTGAGGATGATCATCCACCATGGTGAAATCAACTTAGACTTTTGTTTGTTAAAACACTTTGATGGATGGGGGAAATAAGAGACAACCAAAGGTTATTTAGTTTCAAACTAATTGTCAAGCCAAGATTGTATACTTACACAAGTGAAGAATCTGTATCCATATTGAGGTTATAAGATATTCATAGAGTTTAAGCAATTGGTTCTTCTGTAACAATTAAGATTTTTTGTTTTGTTTTGTATCATGTTACCAATATTGCAACCAAGAGAAATGAAAGCCCGCAATTTCTTAGAGGGTGCACTTTTTGGTCATTGATGTCTTGTTTGATATTGTATTGGTTGTAATTAAACACCGGAGACATTCATTTGTATCACTCTTTTCTTCTATATTTTATTTTGAATAGAACAAAATTAGTGTTTGATTTTCTGCTGTCCATTGGCATGTGATTTAGTGTTTTTTTTTTTATCTTTTAAAAATTACAATGATAACATGTTCAAACTTTAAGACTTTATGCATATTATTCTAATATCTCACCAACTTTTCCCTGAACAAAATAAGCTAGGCATTAACTTATCAACGCATTTTTGCTGTAAGCAACAAGTTTAGATTTTACCATATGATCCAGTACATTTGTATGTAACTCTCCATGTTTTAATGATCAATTTATCGAATCTAACTAAGTCGTTTATTTAACGGAGTCATATGTTTCTAAGTACAATAATATTGGTGTATAGCAAATTATTGATGAATAGATAGATATCTAAAGGAAAATTTAATTTATTTTAAGAAAAAGAGTCAATAGGAGCATTTAGGGTTACAGTTGCATTTCATGTTTGCGAAACTTTCCATGATCGGGTATGTGAGGAGCATAAGTATAGTGATCATAGACATGACGCAATTGATCTCCATTCCCGAGCAAGATCGAAGCTTTCCATCAACTATGCTCTTCGTCACTTCAAGCAGTTCAGAAATTAATTGGAATTTGGCCAATTCAACATGCACTAAGCTTCTTCCGTTTCACCCAACAGCCTCAATTTCGATTTTGGTCTTGCATGGGATCCAATCATCCCAAATCCCTAAATGATATGCGAAATCCCAAACCTTCCTATACTCATATTTAGGAAACCCAAAGTGCCTAGTATTCTTGGTGAGACCCAAAGTGCTTTTATCCTTAATCAACTTATTATAGATAATGTGTTGATTGCTTTTGAGTGTTTCAATTTTATGAAAAATAAGACAGGTAAGCAGGGTCTTATGGCACTCAGTCTCGATATGTCTAAGGCCTATGACTGCAAAGTTGCAGAGAGCTCATCATGAAGAGTATTCAATCAACTTTTTTCTCATGCTCAATGGCATGTCGAGCAAGGAATTCCTACCTCAATTAAGGCAAGGAGACCCTCTTTACCTTTTAC